TTTCATAGACAAATGAAATATATTTCATATTTTGGGTTATGGTCTACTCAATTTATATTAATTTCAGTAGATTTTTGCTAATGTTCAGTATGTTAATTTGCATTGTTCTTAAACATGGTTGGCTACTCTCCTTGCTATTTTTTATGAACCTGGAATCATTTCAGGTATGCAGAAATAATAACCCATTTTAGGTGTTAGCTATAGGACCGAGAATGCTCCAGATCAGTGTTTCTCAACCTTGACAATTTTAAGGCATGTGGACTTCAATTCCCAGAATTCCACAGCCAGCATTGCTGGCTGTGGAATTCTGGGAGTTGAAGTCCACATGCCTTAAAATTGTCAAGGTTGAGAAACACTGCTCCAGATAGTCCAGTACTTCACTTCATTGACATCACTCAGTGTTAACTGCTACAGATTCTTAGAGTTTAAATTGAAATGCCTGCAAAAATAGAGCCAGATGACTTCTGTGTGAGGACCCCGATAATGTAGTTGATGGAGAAGCTAATGTACATTCAAGTAGATGAATGAGATCTATAGAGGAGTACGGTGATGGCCTTGAAGAAAATAACTAGCAACGATTAATAAAACATGATTTTATCCTGAGAATACAGGAAAGCATAAGAAGGAAATTCAAGACTGCCCCATCTAGACCCTCTTTAGTATAACAAGGAGGCAAAGGAAAATACTCTGCTACTTTTGCAATACTATTTATTTCAGACTGCAGGGGTGGGAGAGCTGTACGTTTAAGTTACAGTGTTCTCTGATTTTTGCTTCCATTATCAGAAGCATGAAGGATAAGTTTTTTCAATAATGTTCTGATTTTCCAATAAAAACATTGAAATTGAAACATGCAGTTTCCATAATACGGTATGAAAAATGTATGCTCTGTTCATGCATGTTTGGAAAAAATTAAATGAACCTGATTATATCACATATGAATTTCGAAGATACTAGGGCCTTTCACAAACTTTTACAAAGTGTTCAAGATTTCCAAAGCCAAGTTATTTCCTAACTTGGGCATTTTTAATGGAAAGAAATTAAAGAATGTAACCAAATTGGAAAACAATAGGATAGGATAATTTAACAATCAAAAGAGCTACAAAAGCTAGTTTGAAAGCAAAGTAAGCTGTGACATAATTCTGTTTATGTTAGCAAAATACTTTGCAGTCTATTTGAACGTTGTAAACAAAACATCTGTTACCAATTATAATGTGGTTGCATAACAGTTTGTTAACAATATTTCATTGGAACTTTAGTCCTTTATCCTACTTCTGTTGGCTTTAGTATTTAAATGGCTAAAATCTGAAATATAGTGCAAGTTTATTTGGAAGTAAATCCTTGGAATTAAATGGAATGTTTTTTAGAACAATGATCCAAATTGCAGATAGATAGATAGATAGATAGATAGATAGATAGATAGATAGATAGATAGATAGATAGATAGATTCTTAATTTATACTATTTCAAAATTAGTATGGATAACATCTTCAGGCTGCCTTATTTTTAACTACTTTATATAGTGTTTTTTATGTTATTCGTTTGTTTCAGGGTTGTTTATTATTATAATATGCTTTGTTTTCTTTTTGTGTTTTAGTTTTCTTTTTTTAAAAGAAGGTCTATGAAGCAGAAAAACGCACATAGCTGTGATGAAAGCAAACTGGAAAACCTACCTCAAAGTGAACAGGATACAGGAAATCAAGCCAATGTATCTGCTGAAACAAGTAAAGATGAAAACCAGAACCATACTGAGAAAAATCAAAGGGGATCACCATCAATATATCAGAACAGAAAGTCCTCCTCTACATGTATAATTCTTTAGTAATGAAAGTATAAGGCTTGTATATATGTGAGGTCTTACAAGCAGATATTGCAGTTTATACATGGAAACAATAATGGCATCTATGTAATGATTACAATATTTTTTTGTAAAATTTAGCATTTGGGGACTGATCTATATTAACTTGGACCAACCTTCCAATATTTATTTGTATTCATAATTTTACTATTGCAGCAATGGGAAATACAATCTTATTGATTTGTTGTGGCCTTAACTTTCAGTGATTTTAATAAAATATATTTTTGTACATCAGAAGTTGGAATAAAGACTATGGTTTTTTTTTCCTAAAAAGATACAACTGTGCATATTGTAATTACTCTTTTGGTTAGAAATAAGCAAAAGAATAACTAATGAAAGTGCTTATTCTTTGTAGTCTTATCTTCAGAAGGAAACGTTTGCAAACAATAAAACCTTAAGATAATTTAGCATATTCTTACTAAAATACTGGATATTAAAGTAACGTGTAAGTAATGTTTTTTATGATCCAATGAAAGTATTTTAATTCTTGCTATCCCATTAACTTGAGCTTGGACTCAATTTTCTGCTCTGTCCCATCATGAATTACTGTATAATAACACTAGCTTGGTTTTTCTGTAATTTGGAAATTTAAAACAGATTACTGGTACTTGCCTTTGAAGGCAATGGTCAAAAGCTCAGGATTCCATTAGTTAGATACAATCTGTTTTGGAACTTTTTCCATTTAAATATATTGCATTGCACAGCCCTAATTTGTATAAGCTAGGCTTGCAAGAGTTTTTTCACATATGGGGGTAACTTCTCAAGATATGGTTCATTTTCTGCCTGATGGCTTCATCTGTTCAAGGCAGAGAGAAATTGTCGAACAAGGATTTTGTGCAAGATGAAACCAGAAATGCTGGCTTCTTCCTGTGCAGGTGCATGTGTGTGTGTGTGCGATAACTCTAAATACTGGAATCCCAGGTGTAGGCATTAAATCAATAAAAATAATAATGAACTCCGGGATATACAAATAGCCTTCTTTATTGCTAAGCTTTCGTCAACTAGCTATTGACATCATCAGAGCAAGGGCTGAAGATTAAGAGAACCCTTACATACACTTGTATGACCATTATAACTGTCAAGTTATAGAATGTATATATGGCATGCCCACAAATCGCTCGCATATAGTCGCAATAATTCCGGGTTCAGTGTAAAAGCCGGCTCTGTTGCATGAGTTGGTCTTAGAGATCGCAATGTTCTTTTACTGTAAGGCTGCTGTGCATGCTCATGCAACAGAGCCAATCTTACAGCGACGGGTAAGAGGGAGCTAAGGCGGGCGGGTTCCTTACATGTCCCATAAGGACATCTGCTTTCTCCCATGGTAGAACCGGATTCACTACAACCACACGTGAGGGAACAAGACAACCATCCTGACTATACATCTCACGAGGAATCTAGCAATCAATGTGCGCCTGCGCACAGCGCAGCAAGACTTACGCATGGATCAGCTGAGGCGGGATTTTTGAATCTCAACCAAAGACCAGCTTTTACATCCAAGCAGAACTATTGCGACTATATGCGAGCGAGTGGGTTGTGGGCATGCCATATATACATTCTATACCTTGACTGTTATAACGGTCATACGTGTATGTATATATATGTGTGTGTATGTATGTATTATGTATGTATATGTATGTATGTATGTATGTATACATTTTAGATTGCCAACAAAGAATAAAGGGAGAACTGGAATAGCTATTTCGAGCTTCTTAACTCTCTTCAGCCAGACATACCCTTCTGAGATTCGAACCTGGGCTGTGTGCATGTTAGGCAGCTATATTAACCTCCAGGCCACAGGCTTTTCTCACTTTGTCAGCTGTATCAGGGAGGGAAGAGATAGAGGGAGGAGATTTACCTTGAGTGTTTTTTGATGCACCCTGTCGGCCCCCAAAAAAAACACAGTGTATATATATGTATATATACACTGTGTGTGTGTGTGTATATGTGTGTGTGTATATGTGTGTGTGTATATGTGTGTGTGTGTGTGTGTGTGTGTGTTGAGAGGTTTTTTGGGATGCGCCCTGTCGGTCCAAATATGGGAAGAAGAAAAAAATTAGCATATATATGTGTGTGTCTGTGTCTGTGGAGATTCTCAGTCATCCAGGTTATAATTTTCTCAAAGGTGCTTTTTCAAATGCAACTGGACTTTTTTTTCCTTGAGGAGGAAGAAAACCTTTTGCTTCTCATTCCAACCTTCATCGCTTCTGGCAGGTCAGGCAGGAGGTTGGGAGCGACTGAAATAAAATATGATCCTTTCAGCCCAGCCACCCATCCTGCCAGAATTAATCCTTCCATCACCCCAGCATCCTGGCAGACCTGATGAAGCTTCTTGGATGAGAAGCGAAATGTCTTTTTCTTCAAGAAAAAAACAGTCCAGTTGCCTTTTGAAAAAGCAACTTTGAGAGAACTGGATCTGGTTTTTCTCCCCTGCCTTATCTAATCGGCATCCTTTTTTTTCCCAGAACGGCCGGCCGCTTAGATACTCTGGAGGTTAAAAGTATGCTTCCAGTGTTGTTCCCCAGTAAAGGTGCCAGAGACAAGCCCACTGTCACATTCTTCTTGTGAACATTCTGGATGGTGCTCTGTTCTTTACAGCCAAGCTCTAGAATGTGCACCTTACTAGAAAGATAATAGAGAGGGATTTAAAAATAAACATTCTGCAACGGTCCCAAGTCTGTCAAAGCAGATCGAGTTGGGGTTTGCAATCTTCTGTTGTCTGCCTAGGCTGTAACCGGCGGAGGGCTGGAAGAGTTGCCGCGGGAGGAGCCCCGAGGCAGGCTGCGCTCGGGCTGCTTTGGGTCGGGGCAGAAGGAGATTTGGCTTCCTATCAACTTTATGGAAGTCTCCAGCCTTTTCTAACCATTTCTCTACAGCTTCTTTTCAGGAATTCAGAAAGAGTCAGCAAGAGAAAGGAGAAAAAAGTGTTTTGGGAACTGCCTGGTGAAAGTTTTATTAAACCTTTGTTTGAAATCTGAAAAAAACGCCGACACTGATAGAGTTAGCTGGAAGCGGGCTACGCGTACCCGCGAAAGGCACCTACGGCGTCTTCCTTCAGTCTCCCTGCAACTCTGTCCTGGGGTGTTGTGGGGGGGGGGTGAAAAGGGAGGGTTCAGAGCGCTTCGCCGGCGGGAAGAGGACGCAGGGGAGGAGTTTCCACAGAGCGCCCCACGGCTTGCTTGGCGAAGGGCTCTGTCCCTCCCCCGCCCCGCCGCTCCCGCCTTTCACTACGGCGAGACTTGGAGCAGCGGGGACCCAACTTTTCAGCCGCCGAGGATCATGACGGGGACTTCTGTATGCTTGGCAGTTCTGCTGGCGGTGGGCTCGCACTTCAGCCTCGCCTACCAAGGTAGGAGCGTGCCTGGGGGCGGCAGGGGAGGGGAGGAGGCGCCCCTGGTCCCGCGGTCCGACGAGTTGCTCTCGAGACGGCGAAATAGCGACCGCGCTTCGACCGCGGCCACTTCTGGAATGTGGAAGCGCGTTAGGAATGTTCCCTCTTGTGTGGCGCCTGATCGAAAAAAAAAAAAAAATGTGCCCATCGTGGGATTGTCACACTCTGCACTGGGAGCATCTGATATTTCCGGAGGGAAAGAAGGTATTGCTCGTGAAAGGCGCTTGGAAACGTTCTAAATGTCTAGAAGGCATTTATATAAATACAAAATGCTCCTAGTCAACTATCGAGCCAAATTGGCATTTAGCGCTGGCTCTTGTCAGCGGTCAATACTACTCCGATGCCAGCCCTGGTGAACTATATGCAAACCAGGAGAGTGCAAGTGCTGGCTCTTGTTTGAGGAATGAGACATAGGTAGGTACCTTTTATCCAACTGCTTATACAGGGACACAGTGTTAACATATTGACACTCAGGGGCAGGAGAGGGGGTAGGGCTGAGAGGAAAGAGAGAGGGAGAAAAAGAGAGAGAGAGAGAGAGAGAGAGAGAGAGAGAGAGAGAGAGAGAGAGATGCTCAACAGTTAATCATGATCTGTGTCTGTAATCTAATCTTAAATTTCTGCACTTAATCTTGAAAGCCATGAGGGTGTGTATTCTCAGTGGGATATTGTTGCTGTATTATATGAATACAGTAAAGTAACATGTGGGAATCATGTCTTACTAGATTGGGAACTCATCTCAGAAAATTTAATTTGCTATACTATCATGTCTTGTATGTCATAACAATGCATACAAGCATGTTACTGTGCATGAAGATTTGTGTGTGTGTGTCATATATTTTAATGTTCACAATTTCATTGCTTCTTCGTTCAGGATAGTTGTAGCATTTTGATTAAAGTATACACATTCAGCATAGGGTCATTTGGTTCAAACAGATATGTCTGAATAGATCACTGTACTTTAAATGGATATAAAGTAATCACTGAATGAAAGTTTCTTGTGTTTCTATGATCACAATAAAATTCCTGTCAAGTCATAATCTTTGCAGAGTGGATTTAATAAAATCACTATAGCTTAACCTTTAATCTATATAGTTGACATTAAAAATCCAGGTCATCCCTGACTTACAACCACAATTGAGCCCAAACTTTCTGTTGCTGAGTTTTGTCCCATTTTATGACCTTTCTTGCCCTAGTTAAGTGAATCATTGCAGTTGTAAGTTAGCAACATGTTTGTTAAGTGCATCTGGCTTCCTCATTGACTTTCCTTCTCAGAAAATTGTAAACTGTGATCACATGATCCCAGGACACTGCAAATATTAGTCAGTTACCAAGCTCCGAATTTTGACCATAGGGATGCTTCAACAGTTGTAAGTGTGAAAAAGGTCATAAGTCACTTTTTTCAGTGCCGTTGTAAATTTGAATGATCACTAAACAAATTGTTCTAAGGACTACCTGTATCTACACAAAGGATTTGTTTAGTAATTGTAAAAATTGTCCTTCACTCAAGCAGGTTTCAGTGTAACTTTTAAAAATGTTAAAACAACATTAAATATAGTTCCAACAAAAACTGAAAGACGAACAAGATAAAGCAGTAAAGTGCTGTGTTTTCTAAAAATGCTAAACAAACTCATTCTGTCAAGCTCTTTTAATTATGAATCTAACTGTGTCTTGGCTTCAGTGTTGATCAATCAGCATCTCATGTAGCTTGATTTTCTTCTTATTTACCAGACCTGGGATCTTTTTGCTTACCAGTAACCGGGATTTCATCAAATCCTTCTTTGTTATTGATCTGGGCCTATACCAGTGATGGTGAACCTTTTAGAGACTGAATGCCCAAACTGCAACCCAAAACCCACTTATTTATCACCAGGTGCCAGGTGGGCGTGGCCCACTGGATGGGCGTGGCTGTAGTCATGGCAGACTGGGTGAGTGTGGCTATGAGTGTGGTCACCTCGATGTTGCTCGTGGGGAGGGATGCCTGTGGGGGCGGGACAGGGTTGGGGAAGATCCAGGGGGTCTCTGGCAAGTGGGTGGTGGGCAGGAGGCTCATCCTGAGAGGTGAGGCGAGGCAAGGCGAGGCAGGGTGGGGCTGCCATTGTCACACGGCAAGGTGAGGCAGGGGCCAGGGCGACTGCTGCCTGACACCATCGGCCCCCGCACACAAAGGCCAGTGAGCGCATGGGGGCCGACGGTGTCAATCAGCAGCCACAGCCTGCTGGCCCATCGACTGGCACACTCTGGGCTTCATAGCCTGCCCCCAGCAGTTCAGAGAAGCTGCCTCTGAGCTGGACGGCCGGCCGACAGCTGAGGAGGTGATGCAGTGGGTCATGCCTGGGAAAAGGAGAGCATGTGAGGCCAGGAGGGATGGGACGGGGGGGAGGGAAACCAGCTATGCTGGGATGCATCCAGCCACGTGGGACCTCGGCGAGTTAGCAGGCGGCTGGTTGAAGAGACAGTTGAAGGGACAGCTGCCATTTCCAGGGCATGGTGCATGTGCCCACAGAGAGGGGTCTGAGTGCCGCCTCTGGCATGCGTGCCATAGGTTCGCCACCACTGGCCTATGCTATATAAATCTGGCACAAACTTCAAACTTCCCATGGTGTAGCATCTGCAGGAAATTGAAAGGTTTACTGGGGACTTGATCTAACACTTTAAAAGAGAAGAAGAAGAAGAAACTGACATTTTGTAGGACAAAACACCAAACTCTAGCATCAACTTTATTTTTAAATAAACCTCAAGACATTTTCAGGAAATAAGAGGATTGGGGACAGAAGCCTAGTGATTTATTTAGAAATCCAACAATTATGGAGAAGACATATCTCTCATACAATAGATATTTTGTAAAAAGATAAATACCCTGCCCCAGTTGTTATTTTTGTCTTTTTGTTTGAGTTCTTGATATAAATCAATACCCATGTAAGGTCTTTCTGTCCTTAAAAATGTTGATTTGATGGTTGATTTATTAAAGCTGCCTAATTCTAGAAGGATTCTGAATGGCTTATAATATATGCAATACAAAAGTTAAAATTAGGCTAAAACAGCATTTACATTAAAAAAAGGGACAAATGGAAACCAAGGAGGATGGGAGCCAAACATATCTCCAGGGGGCTGCTGCTTCAGAAGGCAGTGGCTGTAACAGAGAAGGCCTTCTTCCTTTGTCCCATTAGATGATCACATTTAATGGAAATCATTGGATGGCAGAAATAACTGGAGACAGGTAGTCTTTCAAGTAAGGGCATTTCTTAGTTCATTATTTTTAAACTTTGAATGTTGTCCTTCAAACCTTCCCTGGCAAAAATTGTGCTACATTTTTGGAATGGCACAGATCAGAGGCACCAGGGACCGGTCCATGGAGAGAGATTTTTCCGTGTGCATGGTTTTGTGTGCTGCCTGCATCCCGCAGATGGGGCTTTGCTTGTTTGTGCGGACCAGTTGCTGGCATGCTGCGGCCCGGTACTGGTCCATGGAATGGGGGTTGGGGACCCCTGGTATAGATGCTCCAGTAAGCAAGTTAGTAAATATGTAAGTACAAATACATATATACATAAACAATACACAATGAAAGCAGCTAGCAGAGTACGTAAAAGTTCCTGTGTAGCAGATACCTTTGAAATTAATGTACAGGTATATTAAAAGATCTGAGAGAATGAATTTACCTTTGCCACCCAGAAATAAGACAATAAAATCATATTGTAATAAAATGACTTTTAATACATACATTACAGTTTTGGACTCTTACATTTGTACAAGAGTTGCTTAATGAACGAACACTCCTGCTTAGATCTGCAAAAAATCTTTGCTTAAGTACATTGTTACTGAAAGCCATAGCCTTAGCCAATTAAATAATCTTAAGCCAATTTGTTTGTGTACTTTTTATGTTTGGCCGGATTAAACTATTATCTAGCCAGGGAAAATACTGAAAACACATTTTCACTGTTTCATAATTTATGTTCCATTCTTATCAACTCACTGAAGACAATAACATTTGATGCTCTCAAATTCTCATATTTGCTATTCTGATACTTAAGCTAAAAATAAATTATTAAAATAAAAACAGAACTCTGTTGCAGTTGTCTGTACTTTTATACATTATCATTTACTATCCAAATCCAACAGAGGTGCAACAACAATTTCTGAATGTCATAATTCTGGAAAAGGCAAATGGAAGAGCAGGATCAAATATGTACTGTGCCTTGCCAATATAGCAATTACATTGTCCCACAGTATAAAACCTAGATAGAACTTTGCAAATATAGAACAAATTATAGAACTTAATCGACATTGATGTGGTGTCCAGACTGAAATGCCTTTGCTCACCAAAAGGTAATAGCTACTCCTCTTAGTCTGCCATGAAATACATGTGAATAAGGCCTGGTGAATCCATATAATATGCTTAGTATAGAAATGTCTGCAGATATGGGCAGTTTTCTATAATACCACTGTGTATAAAACACTTCATGTAAATGTTGAGCTGAAGCCAGTCTCATTTTGAATTCATGAGTGGCTTCTATATGTCATTAATAACATTCATAGTGACATTCTTTTGTGTGCTTAGATCTCCTAGCCCCCAAATAGGAAGTTGGCTAGGGCTCCAGTTTTCTATTCTCCCTTCCCTTCCTTTCCATTTGCCACTGCATTCCCAAAGACTACAAGTGCCTTAACAATTAATTATATAAAATTAAAACATAGAAAACCAGTAACATAATTCTACTTATTTCATGCCTTCTTTAAAAGAACAATATTATTTAACTGAAGCCTTCAATTTTTTTTATAGGATTAGACTGTTAGAATTTTTTTTCAAATACTCCACTTTATTACTAATTGTTTCATTTTCCTCTGTATAAATAATATACTACATGTACTGTGGTTTTACTAAGATAACTGGTGCACATTATAAAGCAAGGAGAATATCTGGAAGATCATTGTGGAAGTGATTGTGCAAACTTCTCGGAAATTTT